TCCTACCGCAAACGCATTCCTGCTTCAGTCGGCACAACTGGGCTTCAAGGACCACGGCAAGACCGCGTGCTCTTCCTTGACTGGAATTCCTTCCTCCTCCCTAGTCTAACTCCTACTAGTCCGTCAAAGCAGAATGCTGAATTTGCTAAACACTTTGGGGTTTGGGGCCTGTTAAATGATTTGCCTTAATATAACCCTAGTCTTCTCTTTGATCACCTTGATTCGACACTTCATATTTAAAAATTGCTCCTTAGAAGAAAGAGCTATGACTCGAAGAATTAGGGTAACAGGATGATAAGGCCAGAAGGTGGGTCATATTGCACCTTCAAGGGGAAATGCACGAAAAGCATTAAGTATCCTACTGAGATATGATATAGCATGTATTTTTCTCCATGTCCACACTAAGCCAGGTTGTTGGGTGTTTGGATAATGCAGCATATGAGTTAATCAAAATTTTTTATGAAGTAGATATAATGACGCAAACTTTTTAAAATAATCATAATGCTGAAAAAATCATACAATAAGAAACATAAAAGTAATCTTTCCATGACAATTCAGTTACTAGAAATCTCACAATACAATTACCAGATTGTAGATACTCAACAATACATGATGAACAGAATTCCAAAGACGATACAATGGTCACAAATTTTCTGGGGCAGTTCTTCTGTCCCATTTCCAATTGAAGATAAAAATTCTTGCTCAGACTATATTTTCCTACTTACAGCAATTTTTCATTTACTATCATTTTAACCCAGAAAACTTAGTTTTGGAGCTTAGTACCAAAAGCTTTAACCTTGTATTTTTTGGCACCAACTTGTGGAGGAGAAATACAAGATACTTTGTTTCCCAGATTGCAACATCCATTTCGAATCCTGCCTCCTCGGCTTTCTGGGCAGTGGCCCGCTGACAGTGGGTTACCACCAGCTGCCTGGGTGTGTGGACAGAGGAGAAACCCTGATTCACACTGCTTGCCAGTTCCCAGGATATGCATACTTCCATCATCCAATTTCAAACTACCAATTGTTTAGCACCATCCCACAGTTGTTGAAGAAAGTTTTTCTAGGATACTTGTGGAAGCACGGTAAGGCAGGCTTCGCTCAAATGGAGATAGGGCCAGGACCAGCCCAATGGGGTCTTGCAGCTGGAGAGAGAGACGGGGCCCAACTTGAACCCTGAATGGGCAGCAGGCATTATACCCAGGAGTCAGGGCAGGGGTTAGAGGATGGAAAATTTCTAAGAGGACAGGGCAGGGAGGGGGCCTCTGGTGAAACCGACCTAGACCTACAGGATCCAGGCTGAAGTCAGGCCAAGTGGTCAGAAGCCACCTGCGGCTGGTGGAAGATGAGGAACCTGGTCAGGTGCTGAGGAGGATCAGATATCCAGGGCGGGGCTCTTGCTAAAGAGCCTGTGCAGGCTTTCCTGAAACTTGATCCTACAAGGAAGCGCACAGCCCCCGGGAGAGAGGCCATAGCACCATGGGGCTGCCTTTGGGGGCCTTTTAAGTCAGAAGATGAAATCTGAGTCTTGACTCTGTCCTTTAGAACTATGTGATTTGGGTAAATCATGGAAGTTCATTCAGGGTTCCCCCCATTAAAAACTATTTTAAAATGATGAATGCTTCATGAGGTGATGGGCAAGAATTAAACTTCCAATACTGGATAAGTCTTGAGCATTTTAATTGCTGATGATAAGTCCAAATAGGAGAGGAGTCTGGAAGGCCTTCCGAGGGTCAGGTCACTGTGTTCCTACATTGAAATTATTTGTTGAGCTGGGTGCCATGGCACACGCCTGGAATCTCAGCCACTTGGGAGGCTGAGGCAGAGAACCCCAAGTTCAAAGCCAGCCTCAGCAATTTAGCAAGGCCTTGAGCATCTTAGCAAGAGCTTGTCTTAAAATAAAAAATAAAAAGGGCTGGAGATGCAACTCAATGGCTGAGTGCCTGTGGGTTCAATCCCTGGAACCTAAATAAATGAATAAAATTACTTGTTGAGCACTAAGGTGGCATGTCGGGTCCTGCAGTTTGTGGCAGGAGACGGCAACAGTGTGCGTACAGGCCATCACAGTGGAGTCCCTGTCACTCCACGGCAGGCCTCGGCAGCAGCCTATCCCAGACCTTCTAAACAGGAACCGGGTTCTAACCACATTCCACTGCACCTTGCAGTTAGAGAGGGGGCTGCTGTAAAGAGCAGCTGAGGAGAACCTGGCGCACTGGAGGGGCTCCTGGCTTGTTTGAGGGGTCTCAAGGCAAGCCCCATCCAGACCCGACATCCAGGTAGGAGCCCTGGGAGCCACACCCAGTTGCTTGTGCCTTCACCCAGGACAGATGGGTGCAGTCGGCGGCATGCAGTCCAGTCCTGAGCCTCCTGCCACCCGCCCCTCCTCCCTCTGGCCTCTGGAACCACACTCCACCCTGGCTGCCAGCTCAGGGCCTGGCACTGCTCACACACCAGGGTGAGGAGAAAACCCCTCTGGCCCAGCAAATTCCTCCTTCTTAGAATGGCTTCCACCCGTGGTGGACAGCAGGCAAGTCTCTCAGAAGGATTTTTCAGTGTCGCAGGCCGGAGGGATGACAGGTGGCTTGATGGATTGAATGCTGAATCTGACTTTTAGCCACTAAATATAGTCTCTGCACACACCAGAAGGGCTAAATTTAGCAGTGCTGGCATGGCAGAGAGGGAGGGGCTGGGGGACTCTCGGGGACAGGCTGGAAAGAGCTGAGTGATGCCCGCAGCTGTGGCAGCCCGGGGTCAATCCACTGCTGCTGCCAGGGAAGGGGGCACTGGCAGTTCCACCCCAGGTTGATTGTGAGATGGTTTGGGTAGAGTCATTTTTCTGTTTAAAAAGAAAAGCATCCACAGTGCTCAGGGAGGCGTCGGGTCCCTGTTCATCTGGGTTACAGCCGGTGCTGTCCTCCTCTGGGCTGAGAGCGGACCTCCTGGTGGTTCCTTCTAATTCTGTCCCCTGCTGCCCCAGATCCTTTGTCTAGTTAGAGGCTCTAATTATTGAAATGGAAGGTCAGAGGAGAGTGGATCTCTGATGCTGCCAAACTGTATGCCCCAAGCGCCCTTTCCAGCTTGGACACCCTCTGCCGGGTGTCCTGGGGGAAAGTCACTTAGCTAGTCACTTAGCTGCTCACCTTTGTCCAGGCTGGGGCGAGACTCCTGGGCCCTCTCCCGGCAGTGTGTGAAGGCAGGCTTAGCGCAGCACTTAGCTTCTCCTGGCAGACAGCAAACTGTCAATACGAGGTGGCATCCTCTCAAATCACACAGCTCCCCACCCCCACCCCAGGCTGCCACGGTGGACCGAGAAGCCACAGGAGCATCCGTTTGCCATTTAAACGCCCATCATGAGCCAGAAGCCCTGTTCCTCTCCTGGGGTAAGGCGAGACAGCTCATCTGCATTTTGATTGCTGTCTTTGGATAATGACAACCGAAAATAGGCTCTGCTCTCCCCAGCCCTGCTTCCCATGAATTAGACTTAATTACGCAGCCCAAGAAGGAAGGGCGCTCTCCCTGGTCCAGGGATCCATCGCCCTCGATGGGCTTCCCCTGGCTTGTCCCTGGCTCTCCCAAACTCAGGAGGACTACAAGGAGCACTGCCACCACCCCATCATAGGGGCGCATCTGCCCTTCCTCCCTCGCCTTCCTTCCGCCTCTGACACTGGCCTCGGCTCCAAAAACAGGGAGAGAAGGAAAAGTCCCCACCCCCATCAGTTTGGGAGCTGAAGGGCTCCCAGGCCATTCTTTGAGAAACACAGCATGGAGTTTCAGCCAAGGAGACTCAGCCGAGCTAATTCTCAGCATCTAGTAGTTGTCATCTCCAATGTAGTGGGATCGCAGCAGTTTTCTACTACTTCATGATGGAGCCTGAACATGTTAACAAGAACCTGCTCAGAGATGGAGCTGGGAAGAAGTAGGCGGAGAGAGCCGCCCTCCCCATCAGCCTACTTGGGCCTAGATCTCCACTCCCTGTGGTTCCCACGGTGCCCTGGAGGCCTGTGGCCTGGTTCTCTCTCAGGGCTATAATGCCTCTGGCCTAGCAGTCAGCAGTTTCCCATACCAACTACTTCTGTGACCTCTACAAATGTCCTGCATGTTGAGGATGTGATCTAGATCCCAGGAATTCAAAATGTTCAATAAGGTAACATCACAAAGGCAAATTCACCTCAATTTATGCAACCAACTGACTTTCCATGATCTCCCCCACCTCTAACTCCAAAGGTGTCTTGTTTACTGACTTATCTTTAATATCGAGGGGTTCTACTGGGGCCTTCAGTGAAGGGTGGGCATTGGTTAGGAGACTCCTGGGATCATCTGATTCCATCAGGTGTGTACCTTTTATTATTCGCCTGTTGGTTTCACAACTCTGAAGGAGTAGAAGTTAAGTTTTAGAAAACTGATAGTAAAGCAAATGATTCTTTTCTATGGAAATGCCAATGAATTTTGTCTGATATCTAATTGATTTCCATCCAGTTTTAAAAAATTAACTCTAAGCATTGTATTTCTGCACTATAAGGCACTGTACGTGTGTGTATTCTTCAAAATTCTCCTTTGAACTCAATTTAGCATCTTAGTCATTTCCTAATTAATTAATAGGTTAAGTAAAATTTTTGACATTTATTCATATTATATTTGTATGTGAGTCATGATTTTACCTTGTGGAAAATTGTACTTTAGCATCAATTTGTGACTTAATATTGACAGGTATTATGTGAATAATCGTTCACTTTATAACAATTTTGGTTTCCAAATTTTTCTTAAAATCCAAGTGACAAAGAAGAAGAAAAAAATCATTGTATAGATGAGAAAACTGATGGCTTGGGAAGTGACTTGCCCCATGTCACCGAGCACGCCCGCAGCCAGGCCTGTCCACCCTGGAGACAAGCCTTCCC